AAAAGCTATTTGTTCTGGATAAGCTTATCTCAGATGACTATTCGGAGAGATGCCGTAATCGCAGAATGTTCGGTAATACCATGAATTAGAATTTTTTTTATGGCTATCTCTTTCTTATGGCAGTGATCGTCGCTTTGCACCATTTACCAAATGTGACAAAACATGGCGATAGCCGGCACACAGGAGTTCTGAAATTGATTTAATTATTATCAGAGACCGGCGAGCACATTATCTTAAAAGCAAGTTTCAGGCACGGTCTTGCAGATCGATTATGACCGTTATTTATGTCAAATATGTTCCAGAAAGTACATGATACAGTACGGTTTTTTTCGAACTGAACAAAGAGATATATTCACCGTTCCATCTAATTGCGGAAGACGTAACTCAGTTAGAGCATGGGCAAATTATCCATTAACATATTAACTTCGTTTGTAAAAGAAAGTCATATCTCGTTCATGCATGTCCTGTTGATGCGACCTTACATTAGCCGATGGTCCTATTCAATATCTGTAAACCTCTATAGTTTTATTGCCTTATTCGATGGCTGTCGATTGACTCCCTCTCTCGAAAACAATACAATAACACGTTTCTACAGAAAAATAGGATGTATGAAGTATTAGACCTTTTTGTCCTTTGAAAATATACTAATGAATAATAAATTCAAGTTGTAACCGATCTATGTATCTAAAGATTAGATAGCGTGACGAGCAAATACGTGTGTGTATAAAATACATATCTGTTCGGACGAGTACACGGAGCAGATCTTCGACAGAGTATTAGCAACTTGTGCATTGAGATACATGGGCAAGCTTTACATTTGTCGCAAGCTTATGGGCATAAGAAAAATAATGCGCTTTGATCGTCGCTTGTTACTCATAAGACGCACAAATGGCAAAGAGAGCTTTTCAGCTTCACGCGTATTCCGCTTGATGAAAGTCCGTCAGGCAAAGCAACGACTCCTTTCGTTCAGTCGTACCGAATGTCCTCAGATAAATATACTCGACTGAATCCATACAATTTACAGATCTCTCATTCAACTTGAAACTAATACTAATCCTGCTCCTTCATGTTTTCCCTGTCTCTACGAAGAGTTTTCTTGAAATAACACCACCGAATGATATGAGCGGATAAGAAACTATGATATAATGATTTCGGTATGAGGAGGCAAGTACCCTTCGTTTACCTTGAGAAGAAGCTTTTCAAAGGGGCAAGTTGCAAAACATCGAAGCCTAAAGTTATTTGAAAACACTTAAACGGCAATCTTGCCACCTTCAGAGGTAACTTCGGCTATATTTATAATGACGTACTTTTTTTTTTTACCTTTGTTCATTATTTAACATTTTTAGTGCGCAGAGTCCGCGTGTTGAAGGGTGCCCATTAAAGGCATTGTTTAGATCGTACTGTCCTGGCGTAAGAGGCTACCTAAGTGAGACAGATCATGTGGCGAAACCCAGGGGCGGCTATCCAGGCACCGAAGAACGGCACGCCCATTTCAACTGTGAGCAAGTCATCGCTCAAATTGATTCGTTGACTAAAGACTAATAAATTATATAGCGGCATGAGCAAAAACACTTTTGGGCCAAAGTTGCTATTTTAGCTACTTTCTCTTTCAAATGTTCAATTGATAGAAAACAGGTATATAATCAATGAAAAAGAATCAGCGATGCATAAATGTTTGGATGGGACAACTATCTTATAGCAGACGTGAGATAATTTCCAATAGAGAAATTCATAAGGTTAGGATATCTATTAAAATTTCAATTTTTTGACACAATGAATAGAAAAAATAGAACTAATAGCCATTGTAGAACTTCTGTAAATAAAGTAAGTTGTAAAAATATGCATGGCCGATGTTGATAAAATAATTACAATAGTCAATTTCTGTTAATGGCTCTGCGACGATGGAACTGTGGCTGCATAAGCAGAAAAATTCGCAGATATTTGCTGAAAAAAAAAACAAGCGTTTCCGTCGAATAGCCAAACGTGTTCGACGAGAACAAGGAACCCTATTGGAAAAAATCATTTGAACTATGCTCTATATTATATAACGTTTACTTGATAAAAACACGTTTCCCGTTCGGCTTTAACTACCTCGAAAATTTGTATTATAATTAGTTATTGTTGTTTAGTATCTATCAGCGTCCTTATGATCATTATCAGAACCAATATTCATTTGTAGATCATCTGAGTGCTTTCTGTTTGGTTTGTGCGATAATCTCCATAATCTTTCCTTTGTTACAGAAACGTATATATTCAAACGATGTTCGAAAAAAAAAAAAAAAAAAAGTACGAAACACGAATGAGTACAATTGCAATAGCTTCACGCGAACGGTGTTGCTACAAACGGATCTAGTTTGTCTCAGTGGTTTTGTCAAGCTCATCGATTAACCCACCACATCTACTTGGCGTACAAACAAATTGCTACCCTCAATAAGAACGATCTTCAATGCGACGCGATATGTACATAAAAATCAACTACTGGTTTTTTAGTTAATTACATTTTTTATTGCTGAAATACTAGCCTTAGCTAACGTGGAGCATCAAGACGAAAACTATAACAAACGAGCATTCAATTCCTGATTCAGCGTCATTTCGGCAGAACCTCGTTAAGCAAAGCGCTTGATTTAAGGATTTTCTCAATCAATTTCAAAAAAAAAAAAAAATCAGATAATAAGAAAAAATCGAGAATGCTAAAGTCATGACATTCGCAGGACCATTTCAATGCAGGATAAACATACTGATGCCTCGTTTGAAGAAGTATTCATCTGTTTTAATTGCATGTGAGTAGTTCGTACGTTTTTCTGTCCGGTCAGGCCCACTGACGCTCAACGATAGCACATTGAATCCGGGTGGAAAGATGTAATAACGTACGCCGTCTACTTGGCCAGTAAAAGTCACTCAATCGTAACGACGAAAAGACATAATTGACAAATGGATATATCGCATAAGAACTATGGAAAAAAACCGGTGGTTATCACAGTTATTGTATCCACTAATTGTAAACAGAAACGCGAAAAAATTTTGTTGCACTTCCAGATACGAAAATATCAAAGGAGATATTGACAAACAGGGCTACCACAATTTTACCCTACCATTTGCTAGCCAGATGTATAGAACAATGGAAACCCTTCAAACGACATGAGCGAGGCGAAAAGAGACGTTGTCAGGCTTCTTACACCACATATGGAAAAACAGCATTGATCCAGGCATGTTTCTAGAGGAACAGCTGCATTTGGAAAAGCTATTTTTTTTTTCCCAGCTCTACGCTTAGCAAGTAAATGTCTATCTTCAGCAGTTAAACACTGAAAAGACTGGGCGAATTGCTCTGAGGCACCAGGAAAATACGGCTGTATGAGACATATTTATTTACTCCATTTTGTAATAATCTTAACTTAATTTTTATTTATTTAGATCCGAACGTATTGGCGCCCGGTTTTTGATATAGATTAACACAACCCTAAACACGAGGTTGAAAAAGAATTCTACCATAAAGCAGAGACACATGTTCGAATTTTATTTTTTCTATACTATACAATAAATGAATTGATTTTTGAAAGTAGGTCGTAGATTCGATATATATTAGTAATTGTTTCGTTGCCGTCATCTTTCTTCAGCTTGGTATAGTTTTATAACTACTCCGTCCGTCCGTCAGATACGTTTAGCTAATTCTGCTCTACATTTTTCATCAAGCTGTTCTAGTATTAAGAAATTTATTTTTATCAGCTCGAAAGCCACATCCCGAGAACACTGAAGATCTGAGAAAGCATACGAATTGTAAGCTAGTGATGGGCTAACATTGTTCGTCGACGATCGGCATAAATGAGTAAAATCTAGACCTTGACTTGGCTAATTAATAGGACAACTGCTTCAAGGCGCTCAATAGAGTATATGTCAATGGCAATAGAGTAACCACCTTCCACTGGGATACAAGCCACTGAGAACCAGCCAAAGGATAGGTAGAATGAAATTCTTTCTTACAATGTTACGATGTCGCTCGGATGTCTTCCAGCAAAACGGCTTTCCAGACAGCAAGAGCACTTTTCACAACAAATGCTTGCTTGTGCATACTAAATCTCTTTCTACCATCGGCTCCAGGATGGTACAGCAGGTACAACCAGGACCTGGAGTGGTTGCTGTGCTTTTGCCTCTACCTTTAGCTAATCGAATTAATCCAGGATCATTTGTTACGAATGTGTATGGTCCTAATATCCCTTAATGCTCGTGTCGTTGTTTGAATACTCTTTGGGAAGCGGACGAGAGTGTAGCTCGAGTTTAACGTAATTGTTAAACGAACAGAGCACAGGGTGGAGCATAGTTTATACTAACAGCATATGCCCATCGAAATGACTGTACGACGGCGTAACAGCGATAAAGTTTGATATCTATTGAAGCGTGCTTGGCGGTTACCGGGCATGACCCAGTGACCGGCAATACACCTGCAGTGCTTAACTCACACGAAACTTACTTTTTATCTTTGGCCAGAGCACATGACACAGCAATGAAATAGGGTAAATTTATTCGACGTTTTATCGAATAACTCTACCTGTTTGATGTGCAATTATACGATCATTTAGGCATTACGTATTTGATAAAAAAAAAAAAAAAAAATTGACCAGCTTTTCCTTTAAAACTATCGCAATTCGACATGTCCCGTTTTCATTGATACGTTTCCGTTAACCTGCTGGATCTGGGTGATTCGCTTGCTGCAAGCATATATTTATACTGGGGCTCCTCTTATGTACCGCCAATCAATTCCTGTTCGTTAATTTTGCTCGTCATCAAAATCATGAATAATTATGGATTCAACTCTTTTCGTGTCGTTCGATAATCATAGCTCGGGTTGGTCGAATGCTATGATAAGATTTTGTTACGCGGCTCGGGAATAGAAACACACTTCTTCTATTATCTAAGTCTCTTCCATATAAAAGAGTGTCTGCATCTACGGTAAACTAGAATGACGAAAATTTAATTTTGTCTGTGTGCCATGATTTTCCTGAACAGAAACTATCTGTGAAGAACAATGGTCCCGATCCGATCCATCACAAAGGCAGCATTGGGCGTTAACTACAGTAAGCGACTTTCTTACAGCTTTTTCCTACTCATACCGCCTCAAATATCCGATAGGTAAGCAGCTATCTTAAACTTGCGATATATGTTGCCATATTAAACTCACTTGAAATTACATTTTAAATATCAGTGGAATTTTTTTCGAGGCATACAATCACTGTGTACCCCTGGGGTTCCTGGAACCGTTTCGCCTTGGAGCACAAAACTGCACTTACACGGCGCATGAAACCTAGGATTTAGGTCAACCATAACTCATGCAGCCGAAAGGTGGGTAGAGTGTGTGTTTACAAACATATTACATCGTCAAAGTCTTACATATAATTATACACTTTACGATTGACCTAAAAAGTGGAGGATTTTAATTTTTCGTTCGAAGAAAAGCTCCATGGTTTTACTTTTGGCTGCTTCTAGTACGCATCTACGCCTAGTTATCCTATAGGCACAGTCGAAATTCACGTGGTGCCCGATTTTTCTTGAACTATAGAAATCAAATTTTAGTTCGGTTTTACTCAATCGTCAACGTACTACCTGTTTGTTTTTGGCCAGCTTGAAAGAAATTAGTCTTTGCGGACTCGATTCTTGCTAGGCACAGACGACTTCGAGCAGGACAAAATATACTTTTTCTGACACCGGAATGAAGACACCCGACCGTATCTAGATTATATGGTATCTAGTTGTTCATAGCTTCGCTGACAGTGTTGATCTGGTGAGGAGCTAGATAGGATGCTAAAAGCGGTTCGCTTGACTGACGCGACCTAGAGATTTTGGAGTTTTAATTTTTGCGCGCAATTTTAAACGCAGGCAAAATGCTCCGCGGCATGCACTTTTTGCCTTGGATTTAGCCTACGGCTTGTGGTTTTTTTTGAATTTTTTCTAATTCCGAAGTAATGACGAGGCATAGGTACATATAAAATATTGTGAAACGGATCGGACGCAGTGCGTGTGTCCGAAGGCAGCGTCGAGAATGAAAAGGAAATAAAGGCTGCTTTAATATATTGATAGATAAAATTCACTCAGTGGACAGGTGAAGCTGTCGTAAATGGGGTCAATGAAGGTTTCGAGTTGGCAACTCGTTCGTAACGAATGGACTGGAGGCCTGCACGATGGACCTCTTACTAACTAGACCTTTAGTCTAGTTTAGCTGCGGATACAGATTAGGCGGATGGGCGGTGCTAATTCTGGATAAAATACAATAAAACTACAACAATAACAGGTAGATATATGGAGCGTTTAAGAACAGCTTATACGAGTGGCAATAGACTATTTCGTTTTCTACAAAGAGATATTTCACAATAACAATTAAGTTCAACCAAAAAAAATCCGTTAGCGCCGGGCATAGCTATAATGTAACTCTCAAATGTTGTTGTTTCGACCTTGTGCATATAATAGCATAAGCAGGTTTAGAAAAATGAGTATAAGTTTTTGATTAATCATTTGTTTACAGAAATCCTCTTCGATATGTTCCTCAGATGTGTAATTTCTGGCCGTCGATCTTGTCCTTGCTTTTATTGCATTTTGCTAAGTGTGCCCGAGATCGTTAAACACAGCTGAAGTATGCGGTGGAAGCACGGTTACAAGTAACGTGCCTAACGTCTTTCAGGTTCTCCATATAACTCAGACGGCAGTAGATTCGCATGTTAACCATGGATAGGTTCCTTACATCTAATTACGCAATAAACTATAATCTAACCTATGCAATGTGAAGGTGTTCGTAAAAATATCATACATAACATTAGTCGGAAGAATGTTTTTCCAGCATGATCTACGTGGTAGAGAAACTAGCACGACGGCTCACACACAGTGCTCGACGCTTCCCGAACGCACTTCTAAACTCAAAATAACATGCACCCTTGCACCCAAACGACAAACAAACACGTTAATAAAGCGAAACGGAACGGGATAGCCAAACATCTATATTTCGCCAAAAATATGTGTTAGTTCAGCGTCTAGATCGTTGGAAACAATCCTAAGATATATAATCTATATTCTAGGTTATATCTTCTTGATATAATATACTGTAAGAATAGGTCAAACAGTTCTCAGTAAGCATTCAATGTGTTACCTATATATACATAATATTCTACTTTATCCTGCGTTTACTGATGACACTATCCCCAGCCAAGGAATAGTCTGGTTCGACATGAGCATAGTTAAATACAATAGATCCACACAAGAAATCCCGAAATTGACATTATTGACATATGAACTATTGCAGGGAACAATCAATCACCATTTACTTTCCAATCGTACCATGTAGGTGAGAATATTCATAGGGGCCTTATTGAGGACCGCAGCATGTTTTAGAAATACAGCATGTGCACAACTTTCGTCGTTGTTTGAAAGACCTATGGCACGATCAATCCAATAACTTGTCCTCACACGACCACTATATGACGTAGCTTCCGTTGTTTATAGGGCTATTATAAATAGCTAGAAGAAGGAAGGAACTAATAGAAAAATTCCGGCAAAAAATAGCACGTATAGAGATAGCGGGTATGCCGATACTTGCAGAGGATGTTATACGCATGCGTGCGACATTGTAAAAATACTTCGGCTCGCAGCGAACTCGTTGAGGTAATAAGCAGAGTTAGTCCGCAAATATTATTTGCTAAAGAACGCTTGAATTAGACCTCAGCTCATTGCCTCGTTGTTACTGCAGCATGTCTATACAAGTTCCAACAGTGAGGCCTGACCCATGATAAGTTACACCCCTTGTCGAGCTATAGGTGAAGTGGCGCACCAAAGGAATCCTTCGCAAGAAGACTAGACGATTCCTATTACTGCTATGAAATCAAATACGATTAGCCATTGGACGTATTGGCGGGCGCTAGTTTTTATTTTTATAAACAGACGTTGTTTATTGTTCGTACGATACGACTACGGCATTTCTTAGATTGCCTGATATCTGCAATTGTCGATCCAATAGACCTATCGCGCACCTTCTGGAAAGAGTTGCTTCGATAGATTTCGATACGCTACTAATTTTGCCTATTAAATTCCTTAATGTTTTCTATTTGTTTCTGATAAGGTCAGCTGCTTGGGGAGCCATGGACACTCATAATAATGAGACGCCTTTAATAACGTCCATTTAGTTAGCCGTTAACAACGTGTATTTGAGAGACACATAGATCGACACTCGTTGAGATAGGCTCGCCAATCCGATAGCCATGAAAACGCTACTTAATTTGTACGATAAGAAACACAGTACGCTAGTAAATAATGCTTTATTAATTGTAAGTGTCTACAAGTACGGGCAGAGCGGCTTGACCAGCTATAGAAAAAGTAGCGCATACATGATAGGGCAAGTATCAGACAAGGTTATGCGTTGCGAGGGTCCCGGCGCTGAGAGCCTTCGATCGAACAACAAAAAAGTTGACCTAGTAATTGGAAAACATTTGCTGTTCGAAACTTTTCAACCTTATCTTCAGTTGATGCTGTTGGTACGTACCGCTGAACGGCCTTTCGACTCAATTTCAGGGCACCATACACGAGGTACTAATTCTGTGGATATGAAAACTTCACAGAAGTTACTAAATGTGAGAATGGGTGCATCGTTTGCAAAATTAGTACTTCAAATTCTGTCGTCCTCAACACTACCGATGAAATGCGAGTGATTTGTTTCATATAAACAAATGCGTTGTTTGTTTGTTCACACTGATACGGTCGATCGAAGGTCGGCGCTTCATTTGCCCACAGGGCGACGAGCAATCGAAGGTTCAGGCTCGTTTTTACATCCTAAAGCAGCATTCCTACAGTGACTGGCATCCAAACGTTACGACAATTAGCTCATGTAATTTATGAATATTATTATACGTTTAGACGCCAGGGAGCAGTTTTTTTGTTTGATGTCTGTTACATGCTATGGGAAAACAGGAGTGCTGCTTTTTGTTATTTTTGGTTAGATTTTTCATTGTAGTTACAAAATATATTCGACAAACATTTATTTTTGTTATTGTTCCAGAAAGTTCATACAGAAAGGAGCAGAAAAGATGCCAGAGCAGCGTCTCCAGGATTGGCGCCTGCGGTGACTTTGCGATTTATTAAATTGCAAAGTCACCGCAGGCGCTCGAACCCAAATAATACATAAGGCTCGCCTATTATAAATCATTAAATTGGCGATCCGCTAAACAGAAACAAGACCATTGCGGTACACGAAGCAAATGCGGAAATTGTCCACAATTAACGTCTTCGAAGAGTTGGGAACATTAGTTCGTCTGCCTTCGATCTGATGCGACAGATGTTGGAAGGTTTCCACACGCTGCCTCCACTGCTCACCTCTCGTCAGTAACAGCTGTTACCAAGCGCGGGCATCCGATCCATACCAGAACTTTTATAACCTTCGGTAGATGTGATTTGGAATCGAATTAGTTGTCATAAACGAATAAATTTAATTGGTTTTCAAGAGTCTCAGGCATAATGAAAAATCACGTACCCAAAATACCTAACCGATAGGCCAATTTCGATGAATGCGCGTGTCCTTATTAGATGATTTGGAAATGAGCGGGCTGGAAATTATACAATATTATATAGTGTGGCCTATTTTTTAGGTTTTGTACGCACTTAAGTGCATCAATTTTATTAGGTATCTCTGTTTTTCTTTAGATATACAAATTATCAAGTCAGATCTTTGTCTTTGTTTTTCGAGCAAGTTGCATATATATATATGTATAGATATTTGTGTGTGATGGTGTGTGTATGTTTATGTGTGAGTGTGTGTTCGCGTATGTGTCTGTGTGTTTATGGGTGTGTGCGCGCGCGTTAGTTGGCGGAATGTTCTAAATTATTCCAGCAATAACATTGTTATAATAGTAATAACTCAAAACAATGTTAGCTAATGCGGATCGCAATCCACGCGGTAACACACAGATTTGAAGTTTTAGCTACTTGAAAAAGTAAGTTTGCATTTTGCAGGAAGGGTACAATAAGCCGTTAAGCAACAAGTTAAAATCGTTTTACTGGACTTATGAAATGAGACATATCCTTGGTTTACAGTTGAATCGCATCACTAATAAGAGCGGCTATCTTCCTGCCTGCCTCTAGATGCTGGCTATCGCCTTATAAAAATGAAATGGCGAAACTGAATGTTAAAATTTAGAGAAAGGAACAGGGAATGTTGGCTTTTGGGTATTGATAGGTGATGGCAAGCGCACTACTGCTGCTGAACGAGGTTGAACCAGTTCAAAACCTCTGATATTGAAACTCAGGACACCTGAGTTTAGGTTTGGCCTACAATCACTCTTTCAGCGTGTTTCGCCGAAATCACCCCAAGTTGTTGTGTTTTCGATCGGGCTCGAGCTAACGCCAGCATTCTATCGCCTGCTAGAATCACGCTTCACTGGCTACTACCACAACAATTACTATTACAACCCTAAGACCATCGTTTGACTTTTTTTCTACGAAGACAGAAGCAAGTAGTGGCGACATGCTGACTACTCTGAAGCCTAGCGTTTATCGAGATCTTCGGTTTAAAATTCTTAGAATGGTAAAACGTACTTTAGAAACGTAAAAATTTTACATGAAAATAACACCCCTACACTCAACATGATATGTACATCGACTGATACAAAGTAAAAGCTGGAATTTTTAACAAACTGACTGTGTTAATATACTTTCATATATAGTCTCGGCGGTCTAACGCATATCTGAAGGGGTGTCAATCTAGCCTGGTTAGCATTAATACTATTTATACATTTTGGTATTTTTAAAAAAAAAAATAGTTTTCCTACGTGGACCGATACAAGTTTAATCGGGTGAGATCTCCACATAGTTTTTGGGTTATATTAGATGCAATTAAGAACATCTTCAACAAACGCAATTTCAACAAAGATTAACGCACAGCTTTTCTACGATACCTAACTACATATGATTCCTCTCTTAGACTGAACATGCCGTCTTCTTCTATTAGAAGTAACTGTTCCATTTTCATTTAATGTTTCCGCTATTACACAACTATAAACGACTTAGTCTGGGATCACTGCCTAGGTAATTTCGACAACAGTGATCAAGCGATATTAGTAGCAATAGAAGTAACGATTATCGACAGCCGTCCGATTCATTATCAAGACCATTTCCTAACACAGGATTTCCAGACTGCAAAGAAAAAGTTACAGTAACATCGATGCCTTATCACTGCTGAGTTATGTAGACGACATTTGTGCCAGTAGCAAGGGCGCCATTTTTTAAAAAATCACCCCTATTTATCATCGACCCGTATTATAAGAAAAACTTATCGACTCTCAAGATGAGTTTTGAACAAGCGATGCGGCCGGATAAAGAGGTCTAGATACATTCGATTGATATTCTAGCGGTACGGTGCGTAATCTTGTTATTAGTACGATCACACACGCACAGATGTACAAACACTTATCTAACATATACACGCGTCGTCTACTGGAAACAAGGCTATACTGCGTACCATTATCAGATGATATATACGTGTTGTTATTCTTATGTTAAAAATATTACTTTGATAGGGTCTCAGACGACGCGTGCAGAGTTAACAGTAGTAAGTTGCAAGGACAACCGAAACATGGTTTTGTTAACAAACGAAATACAGACGGCACAGGACCTTCCTGATTTAATACTAACATCTATTGTACCAAGCGAATAGTTTAGGTTGCTAATGTTGGGCTGCGGTATATAAAGTTTTAGTCAACTCTACGTATAAAATTGTAGAGGAAAAGTCACGAGTCTATTGTAGAAGCTTCGTAGTTTCTCAGAAGATGTTTATACCTGAGGCGATGAATGACGCGATCGATATCCAGTTGACTAGAGTCTGATTTTTATACTTTCCACTAAGAAGCTATTGGTGTCTCTTCCCACAAACCGTAACGACAAAGATGTGATCCAGGAAATATAACTAATAACTAGGCCTTAGTCACACGAGGCTCTATGTATGGTAAGGGGGGACCTTAAATACCACGGCATGTTTTTAATTGTACTAAACCAATCATGAAATCATACCACCGGTCAAAGTGAATAAAGTTACTTGTTATCTATATTGTGTTTTATGCCAATTACCTAAAAGCTTCGATTTATTTCTTAAATCAGATTTTAGTTTATTTATCTACAATTTCTTAATCGTTTGCTTAAAAAATGTCAGCCGCTACCCTGCGCCAAAAGCTATTCGTAAGCATACTTTGAGAATGAGCTCCCTAAATAAGCAAAATGAACATTTCCTTACAGCTGAATTTGCCTTACAAGCAGTTCCTAAAGTCAGCTAGCCGTCTAATTTTAAGGATTTTTAATACATCTTCAACCATAAGACTTTCTTTCTGATAAGTTTTTCCAGCTCTACAGGTATGATTTAGCTTCGAGTTACTTTTCCATGCTGTACAAAGCGATAAAGCTCCGTGTTCTGACACAGCTGAAAAGAGCTGATTCAACAGCTTCTCTACCTAACCTAACATCAATATTACGATTAAATCTTGAGGGCAAAGATCGTTCAAATTGCTCCACTTTCTGATTCCTATTGGCGGACAACGATAGTTCGAAGCAAATTCTTCTATAGATGTTACCATATATAGGCTTCATAGCACAGGCGTATATTTTAGAACTAGAAAAACGCTAACGGGAAGTTTTAAATGCTTTCAAAAGTTCCCTCTAAAAAATCTGAGAAGAGACTTGTATTGAAATAATTTATTCGTGAAAAACAAAGCTAAAAAATGTCAAGCCAAGGTTTCCATTGTCAAAAAGTTCTGTTTCAATTTTAGCCACAAGCAGTTCAACGACTGTCCATATATTATTCCCTATAATCCCTTATGTTTACTCTCAAAGTCGGCGCTTCATATCGAGCTAAAGTAGGAAAAACATTAAAACTCTAGAAAATATTGCAATGCAGCAATCGAAGCTCTAGCTAACAAATGATAGCACCACACCGTAGGTCCCATAGAACATCCACCTGCTGAAGTAACCTAAAGAACTATTGCCTGCAGGGCACGGTAAGTTTTTATTGACGCAGTATACAAAAATAAACGCGCCCTTTGCTACTTGATGGTTGTGAAATAAACTTCTTGAAGGTTGACGCCGAACAATCTAAGATCTAGAAAAAAGTAGGCGATATCAACTAGAATAGTATGAAAACTCATCCAGGTAAAGAAAAACAATTTTTGTTTTTGTGATTTTTTTTGCAATCTTGCAAAATGTACTGTCGCGAGTCGCTGTAAAACAAGGAATTCATTGGCAGTCCATCTAGGCGTCCTGTCTTTTTTAGTAGGGCTTTTTAATTCCACGGGCGGGCTAAGAAAGGCTTGCTTTCTAAAAAACAAGGTGCTTCCCGTTGCAGTTAAAGATGACCGACGCAGTAACTGCCGATCTAAATACTTTCTGCCTTTACGCGAGCAGCCAAAAGATGCACTCTTCTCAAAGCCTCTATGAAAAATATCTTCAAAGACATTTCGTACCTCTATTGAAACCTTCTGCTTAATGTAACTGGTCTGCGTAGATCATTCTAAATAAATCAATTAGCTTATTTTCAAGTTTGAATTTTGAAGAGCGTGCAAAAATGTCATCAATGACCTTCGAAAGCCCATAGCGTTACTGGTTACTGCTTTGTATTTTCCTTAAAAAAAAAAACTTCACAAAGCATTTCTTTGGTAAATATACTCTTTAACAGGTCAAAAGATTTTATAGTAATATACTTCATCTTCGAAACAACCAGGAACGCTTAGACTTTTACATATTACAGTACGTTCAAAATTTAGTAATTAAGACGTTCCTTTAATATATATATATATATAGTCTGCCTAGAACGCGTTGAGTAAATCCAATCTACATCTATTTGGAACATCTAGCCGTATTTAATAGCTTAATATTATTCCTAGTTTATGGCAATCGCAACGTAAGCTCATCGCTGAAGATCTTTTGCGATGCACTCATAAGCTCGTTCAATTCCAGAGAGTCAACATGAGGAATTGAAAGACGGGCCGCATGGGACGCAAGCCAGTAAACACATACTCAACAAACAGAAACTGTACAAACTTTTATAAATAGTAATCCCTTATTGGCTGATGACGCTAGAATCAGAAGGCGAAGTGATGGCGGCTGATATCTTCGCTCATGGATGGAGCTCTGTTTAAATGCTCATCGTCTGCTGGTCATGTTTATCACTTTATGGAAGCAACAATCTCTCGACTTGAAACGTCTAACAGTGACTCTTAGATGCGTACAATTACTATGTAATGCTTAACAGAAGATGGTTGTCAGGTGTAGTTGAACAAAGTCTAAGCTATAATATTTGACTAAACGGAAAGGGTATTTCAAACACAGAATAGATCAGGTGTGTTTACCTCCATAGATACGTTACTTTGTATAAG